CTCCACCACGTCGCCGGTGTGCAGCCAGCCGTCCTTGTCAAGCACCCGCGCCGTCTCCTTCGGCCGCGCGTAGTAGCCACTCATGAGCGTTGGGCCGCGTAAAAGCGCTTCGCCACACGGCCACGCGCTGCCGTGCCGCCACGGCCCTATGTCGCGCAGCTTCAGCTCGACTGGTCCCAACAGGCCGCCAACGCACTCGCGCTGTGTGTCCCACATGTACTGCAGAGTGCCGCAGCCAGCGCTCTCTGTTAGGCCGTAACCCTGCAGCACCGCCGCGCCGCATACAACCTCGAGGAACTCTTGCGTCTCTGCGCGTAGCGGGGCGCCGCCGGAGATTATGGTGCGGCAGCGGCCGCCAAGCAGTGCGCGCGGCTTGCTGAAGACTGTCTTGTTGAGAAATGGGGTGTCGAGGCAGCGCAGGAGAGCGCGGCGCCGCTCGCTGTACGCAACTCGAAATATGTTAGCGAGGAATCCCCCGTTTGACGGCAGCGTGCTCTCCAGTGTCTTGTGCAGCTCGTTGAGCACGCGGGGTACGCCCATGAACACCACCGGTCTGAACTCGCAAAGGTCACTCTGCGGTGTGACGCATGTGTTGCCCCTGCGCTGGTGCAGTGTGTGTGGTGTGCCGTAGCATACAAGGTAGCCGCGGTGCAGAAAGACATTTTCTGTAACAAATTCCATTATGTGGGAGAGCGGCAGGTAAGCAAGGTAGGTGGGACGCTGCTGCTCCTCCTCGTGTGCGACGTTCGAGGCCGCGGCACTCACGAAACTCGTCCCACAGCTCCGGTCGGGCATTGGCGACCGGAGACCCTTGTCGAAATTCATAACATCAAGTCGCTCCTGTTGTGCTGTGACAGCAGCCTTAAGTGCGCCATGTGAAAGCATCACGCCCTTTGGATCGCCGGCCTTGTACATCACCAGCGCCAGCTCCATTGGATTCGTTGGGAAGTGCAGCACCGCGTCATCCTCCTCCTCCTCAGCCTCCGCGTCGGCCTCTGTGTTGCAGAGCACTTCGTCCGCTACTGTTGCACAGGCTCCAGGAGCAGCAGCAGCAGTGGCTACACGCCTGCAGCAGCGCTCCTCTCCACTGCTGCTGCTCCGCGGCAAAGACACAGCCTCTACCTCTGCAGTGGCAGCGGTGTCCGCCGGCGGCCTAAACGTTGTTGAGTTGTGGTACTGCCGCAGCGGGAACGACAAAGAGGGCGGCGCAGCAGCAGCCTCACCGCCGTTAGCGTGGAAAATAATGGTTTCCGCAGCGCGCTTCTGCCGCATCTTGCGGTATTCCTCGTGAGCCGCACGCCGCCGCTGCCACTCCTCCCTGCCACGCCAGAGGAGTTCCCCCCACGTGAGCACCACCGTCCCGCACGCCTCCACATCCTTGTGGGGCGGCTCAGCCTCTGCTCCTCCTGGCGACGTCAGCGCGGCTTCCATATCTAGCTGCCTCGATGCATCCGTCACGATGAAAACAGGCATGTGACGCGCCGGTTCCGCTGCGAAGACGGCATGAAGCTTCGGCAGCAACTTGCGCTTACACACCATTGCGGCGAGGTCCACCTCCGCCGCAACACGCTCCATGGAGACGCGCTCGTCACCCAGGACAACGCACACGAACCGCTGCGACCAGGCGCCGTAGCAGGCGACAAGCCACTCCCACCTGGTGTCCTCGCAAATACCGACCATTGCACCCTGCGACAGGCCCAGCGCCCGCAGCCCGCAGCCGAGCGCTACAATGCGCTCCCAAAGCTGCGCATACGTGCGGTACCTCGTGCGCTCCATGGTGATGCATACCCGCTGCTGCTGGCGCTGATAATGATCAGTTGCTGTCACCGCGTCGCCGCCACGGCTGCTATTCCGCTCCTCTTTAAGTGGTGTGACGCACACGGAGCCAACGGGGCGCCACGCGACCGCCCGCTCGCCACGCCGTTGGACGCACATACTGCGCATGTCCTGCACCAGCGATGAGAAGGGCGCCCCGTCGTCGCTCTGATACTTCTGCCACATCTCCTCGCGGCTGAGGTGCTGCACCTGCGGTTCGCGGTACACACCACTCTCACGTGGTGGGACAAAGGAGTCGCCCCCGTCGTCGTCATCCTCGCCGTTGTAATCGTCAGCCCACGCACTACGCCCCTCATACTTGTCACTATCGTCGCAGTTGGCGGTGTTGGCGCCCTCACCAGAGCGGAGTTTGCAGCAGTCGGCGGTGGGTCGTCGCCAGCCCTCCCGAGGGGGGCCGCCACTGCACGCCTGCGTGCGTGTGTCATCAGGGATATGCACCGCAAGCGGGCCGCGGCCGCGTGTCTCGACGGCTTCGGCATTCGGTATAACCGAGTATTCGTTCTTGAGCCGCACGAACGCGAACACGGCGTTCATTGGACGGCTAGCCTCAAACGTCTAGGCCTTCGTCCCTTGGAGAGACTTTGTTTAATGATAGGGCACGAAATAACCCGAGTCTCTCTCTCTCTCTATCCCCCTATGTGTGTCTAAAATGTTTTTCTCCTTATTTATTACGCCTCTGGAGAAAAAAAAAAAGACTCCACACGAAAGTGTCTGTTTATCCCTACGCTCCCTTTTCCTGTTTGTTTCCCCGCCGCGTGTTGCTTCTGTTGTTGTTGTTGTTGTTGTTGAGACGGCGACGGCGCAAGGGATTACTCTGTCTTATCCGCCTGTGTGGTCCTAACCGTATGGAAGAGCCACGCCCCGGACGAAATGGAGAGATGCACCGAAGCTATCGGCTCCTTCCCACTTCCCCCGGTGGTCCCTGGAGTAGTATTGCTAAAATCAGATCGTACTGTGTGTTGGCTTCGCACCACCGCCGCACGCAAGGAGGGGAGCAGAGAGAATGAAGGGGGCAACGCAGCACCAGCAAACAAAAAGGCATGTGCGCATGGGAGACAACCCCAACGGAAGCCACAAGTTGGGAGAGCGAAAGAAAAAAAGGCAGCACCATACAACGCCGCCATGCACCTCACATGAAGAATCTCGCCGAAGCAACGACTGCTTTGCGAACAGAATGATCTGGGTGATCGTGGTGAGCGGGTCAGAATTAAGAAGGAAGAGAAAGAGGAAAACGCACACATCGACGGCAACGATCGTCACATACGCCATTCCACCCTCACCCCACTCCACCCCCGCACCCCCCCCCC